TGAAGACAGAGGTGTGAACATTCCTCCTTGAGGGATATGCAGGCGGACGGGCCTCTGCAGGTGGTGACAGTGTCCATTTGTCCGCCCTTCCTTCCTTCCGTCCGTCCATCCGTCCTTCCTTCTCCCTGTGCCTTGCCGCCTTGCCTGCCTGCCTCTCACTGGGCCTCCCTGCTGCCCTGTCTTATTGCTTTGAGGGATTACACAGACATGGTAGAAACGCGTGAGGCCAGAGCATGGTGTTAGCCCACTGTGTCCCGGAAGGAGTTAATGGCTGTTGCCCAAACTGGAGCTCAGAGCAGACAGCAGCAGTGCTGGCCACGCCAGGGTGGGCAGGCAGAGCGCCGCACTTTCTGACTCATTGCTTGGCCCTTAAACATTCCATCGCCCCGAGGTCCCCAGCAGCCCTGGCCTCCTGCACATCTTTAGGTTACCGATGTCCAGGTGTGCCAGGGGCTGGCATTGCCAAGGCAGGTAGCAACCGTTATGCAGGTAGCAGTCTTTCAAACGCTGAGACTCAGGAGCAGTCCCGGGTCCACGGGCAGGGACCCCGCTAAGTGTGTAGCTGAGTGCTTCCAGCCTGGTGAAACCATCCCTCTGTGTCTGCAGAAACGGAGAGAACTTGGTGGACTTTACCTTCGTGGACAACGTGGTCCACGGACACATTCTGGCCGCAGAGCACCTTTCACAAGACACGGCCTTGGCTGGCAAGGTAAGGCACCCACTTCTCCCGGCTCCACGGGGGCTGGCCCACCATATCCTGCTCTGCACGCTGCCCATCTTCAGATTTCTTCTCCCTGTGATCGGATCCACTGGCACATTGCCTCTGTGATCCTGAATCCCGGTGGACCTGCTTTAGGATCCTGTTGGGCCGGGGTTAAGTTCCTCTGGTTGGGAGTGTGGTGTCATAGCAGCGCCACATTGCACGGGGCAGCCAAAATCTGGAGGGGTGAGCTCTGATTGAACAGATTCAGGACCTGGTTCTCCATGAACGTGACCTGGCTGCCCACCGTGGGCGTGGCTACTCCAGACAGGGTCCCTCATACTTTGGGCGGGGCGCTGCCTACTCACCCTTTCTCCTACTCATCCCAGAAGTCTCCATTTCCCCCCATCGCCCCACAGTGCTCACACCTCTTACTCCTCAAGAGGGGCAGATGCATGTGAATCCCCTGGTGTTTGGTACCCAGTGGCCGGGCGGACCCTGTGGGGAGCTGAGCCCTGACACAGAGATGGGAGAGCGCACGGGGCCCCTCACCCTTTCCTCTCGCTCCGAGGGCCCCTGTCTCCTTGTTTTTCACTCCTGCCTTGGGAATCGCCCCCTATCTGGGCCTCTGCTATTTTCCTACTCACATAACTCTTAGGGTGGGTGTGCCTTTCAGTTTAGACTAAACGGCACATTTGAGAAATGTAATCTGACCTGTTCATTGCATCTTCTGAAGATAAGAAGATGAGTTTTAGCACGATTAGCACAATTCCTGAATTAAATTAGCAAGTGAGCTTTCCCTAGTGCAATCTAAGCTTCACTTAAAACCCTGGCGCAGATAAAACTTTCATGCCTTCCTTACGTACACCTGCAGCTGCCCACAGCTGCCAATCAAAAGGCCATCTCTGCCGGTGGCTGGCACTTCCGGATTACGGGATCACGGAAATGCTGTGACCTGCGTGGGCTTAGTATCCGCCTCACTTTTGAGCTGCCCTGCAAAGGGACCAGGGAGGGCAGGCAGGGAATGACCACTGATTTCCCAAAACATCGGTCCTGGGCCGAGCCAGCAGCTGCAGCTGAGCTCCGAGCTCGGCCCACTCATCCCCGTAGCTGGGGAGCGGTCTCTAACTTCACGTTCTCTCTCCAGGCGTTCCACATCACCAATGACGAGCCCATCCCTTTCTGGACATTCCTGTCGCGCATCCTGACAGGCCTCAATTACGAGGCCCCTAAGTACTATATACCCTACTGGGTGGCCTACTACCTGGCCCTCCTGCTGTCCCTCCTGGTGACAGTGCTCAGCCCTGTTGTACAGCTGAAGCCCACTTTTACACCCATGCGTGTCGCACTGGCTGGCACATCGCACTATTACAGCTGCGAGAAAGCCAAAAAAGCCATGGGCTACCAGCCACTGGTCACTATGGACGACGCCGTGGAGAGAACTGTGCAGAGCTTCCACCACCTGCGCAGAGTCGAGTGAGGTCCCCGAGATGGGGCCCCCTCGCCGTGCTCCCCCATGGATAGCTCTCTCTGTGGGGGACCAATAAACTAACCTCCTTTAAGTGAGTTTCTTCTGAGCTCAGATCAGATAGGAGGACACCCAGCCCTTCTGTGACCACAAAGGGAGGGGAAACAGCAGACATGTCTCTTTGCAGGGTCGGGTTTGGCAGCTTCGTAGTCTACCGTTTCGTGTCCCCCTCCGCTCATCCCCACCACTCCTGGGTTCCTTATCATTCCGATGTCCTTGTACACGATCGAGGAAGCCGTAGGGAAGAAACGACCCCTTTGCTGATCGATGCTGGGGAATCAGATTTATTTCCATACAAACCAATACTAGAGTAGAAGCCACAGAGTGTTCGAGGAGCCACATATTAAAAACGTCCTAGAAGAAAAGCAGACGTTATAAACACGTGGCGAGACTTCAAGCGTACATTTCAAATAGACACAGAGTTTAGAGCAAACACTGAAGAAGCTTCACGGTAACCCTCCTGGGCGTCCCTGGCTGTTCCCTCTCCTTACGTGCTTCCAGGTTCCGTCTCAGGCCCAGCTGCAGTGTGTGCCTGCAGGGTTTTTCCCTAAGACATTCTGTCGTAGACACGTTTCTCCGTAACAAGACTCCCATTGTCCATAATGGCACAGCGGTGGGCTGCCCCAGTGGCCTGCTAGTTCAGCTCCTTAGCTCCTCTTTTCACACCTGGCTGCTTGACAGTGAGCCATCAGAAAAGTTAGACAGACGAGAGCATCCTTTAGCTGCTTGGAGTTTAGGCAGAAACTCCACGAGCTGGTGCAGAAATGGCGACTTCCCTCAGGGAACCTTTCATGCTCACAAAACCCTTCCAGCCAGTTTCCAGAAGGCCTAGCACATATCACGATTCAGCGTTCTCCATTTTCTGGTGACGCTCTGCTTACAGAACCTGCCTTCTCCTTAGACTGATTGACATGTTTTCTGCCTTTGTCCAAGGATGGAGAGGCACCTGGGGAGACTGGAATAGAGTAAAGCCATCGGATGTGCCATGCCATTCCAGTTCATGTGATGTGCACAGGACCCCCCTTGGGAGGGGTTAGACTGTTAAGCTGATGGGGTGGGGGGTGGGTGGAGAGAAACAAGACACAGTCTTTGCCCCAAGGCACTTAGAATAGAGGAGTTAATAATATACGTTCGTGAGCCCCTGTAATACCACACCGGAAATGATACACACATTTCAGATGAGGTGCTGTAAGTTTAGAGGGAGATATGGCTTCCAGCCAAGACCGTCAAAAAGGCCTCCGTGGAGGAGGCGACAGCACTGACTTGGACCTTGAAGGATGGATGAAGAGGTAGTAGGTACAGGCCTCTAGGTGGCATTCCAGGCTAAAAGGTTCACAGTCAATGGCTTGTCACAGTTTCAGTAACTGCTGTCACTCAGATTCAGTGAAGTACAGAAGTGACCAGCCTGGCTTGGGGTTGGGGACCCGGAGCAGTGGGAGGCCAGTTGGGCTGAAGAGAGGAAGTTAGGGCCCCGGATGCTAAGCCAAGGGGGCTGAACTTCATTCTGTAGTCAGGGGAAACCATTGACAGCTTAAGCACAGGAGGGCAAAAATCAAGAAACTTTCCGACCACTCTGCATGGAGCCTGGGAGACCGGATAGGATCGTGAGCACAAAAGTGGGCACTGATGCTCGATTTCCTATGGGGGTGACATGGAGGGAGGACTCCGCTTTCAGAACTGCCAGGAGGGCCTCCAGTGGGTAGACTGAGGCGGGCAGACCTCACTGAGGAGCTGCAAGGGCCAAAGTGTCCTCGGCTTTGGCCAAAAAGGAACAGCGCGGGCTGCTGTGTGAGCAAGAGCAGGCTGCAAATGACCGTGGCCTGATGGAAATGGGCCAGAACGGCCACTGAAGTCATCCCGAGGAAGCAGTGTCCATGCAGATCAGAAAGGTGAGACCGAGTTCACGTGGTGGCCGGAGGGCCCTCCAGACAGACGCTGACCCCCAAGGGGACAAAGGGCCGCCCTCCCTGCCCGGCGAGGACTTTTTCTGCCATTCTTTGCTTTGCAGTCCTGACCTAGACCTGTGTCACCCTCCTCACCTCCCACACCTGTTCAGACAAAGTCTGACTGCCAGGAAACCATAGTCTCCACACCCCCTGGGAGCTTGTTAGAAACTGGGGCCCCACCCCACACTTACTGAACCGAGACTCGGAGCGAGCCTGGCACGCTGTGTTCATAGGGCTCACCAGCGCTTCTCAACCACTGAAGTGACCTCCTACCAGGTCACTGAGTGTAGCTAGAACCTCGCCTCAGCCACTGCAAGACTGAACTTGCCCCCACACAGGCCCAAGTCTCTGGGCCACCCTGATCTGTCCCTTTCCTGACGGCCGATAGCCTTACAACATACCTCCCTAAAATGACTTCCTGGAGAAGTGCCCAAGCCCCGTGTCTGTCCTGTGGCACATCCATCTGTAGAATCAGGGCAGAGGGAAGGGGACAGCTAAAAGTCCAGGACCCAGTTCTGCGTGTTCATTGGGGAGATCTCTCATTTCAGTCCGTCTTTCACCCCCATCGACGCTGACCTAGTTCAGCACTTGGCCCCATCCGCACCTGGGTCAGGTGTACTGGGACAACGGAGCCGATCTGCCTGCC